CTGTTTTGATTGACCATTCCAAAACTGTGCGGCACGGAAGCTTCTTCGGGTAGTCAGAGAAGTCATCTTCGGCTGCAATTCTCGAGCTTGCGCTTGCTACAAGAACCATCTCCCATGGAATAAGAATAGTCACTGAACCAAAACCACCACTTCTATTCGACACCGAATCACTACTATATTTAATACATAGTGGTCCCCTATTGTAATTTGAGTTGTTTTAAGAATCGTTGTATGATGCCGGAAACAAAACAAAACAAACCGCAATATTTTGATGATAATGTTTTTGTTATTTTTCAATATCTTGTTTAATCTTCTTTAACTTGAAAAGAACGATATATACAAAACCACTAAACAAGTATGAACTAAACCATAACCTTAACCATCACTAAACCAAGTATAATTGGATGTATAACTCTAATATTATTCAATGTTTGAACAAAGTGTCTTACTCCTAAATCAACATCATATGGTTGATCACTGATTAGTTTCTTTTTGATTTAGTAGCATTGGATTCCTCTAATTCACTTAAATGTACTGGTTTTTCTGCTTAGCTATGTACGTATTCTCTCCACAACCGTTATGTCTATAATGTACAACTTTTATATATTGTTGTTTTTAGTTTGTTGGTAGTATACTAGTATATATGTAGAACAATGGTTATAAAAAATACTATATATGTAGCACAATTAAATGATTTATGATTAAATGAAACAATAAACCAAACCAACTCCCAATCGCTTTACAATACTCAAAAGTCAAAACCTTGCGGACTTGCGGTAGATCTCATAAATAATTCTTTGTGCATCCAAAACCGAAGACATAATAATTAGCAGTGTAAAAAAGGTAAAGAGTATTGTGACCTCATTTTTTTTTTTAAACTGACTGACTAAGCTTGTAAAAGAGGGCAACTAATTTAACCGTAAAAATGAAGGCACACGTGAGATGACTCCGGAAATCATGAAACAGCTCAAATCTCGATACTACCGAATCCCCAAATCAAATATTTTATACTTTTATCTTGAAAAAAAACAAATGAACAAGAAAATTAAATCATATGCAACACAATTTTCACGTCCTCCCGCCCTTTTTTTTAGGGCGCCAAAGAAACAGTTCTATCACGCGCTCTACGCGCGTAATTTCCACCTGCAAAGTGAAGTGAAAAACTTTTTTTTTCTTGCTTTTTAATGAAAAAAGTGTTAAAAAGGCGAAACCCCCAGTACGGATATTGATTTTCGACGCAGAGCAGAGTTGGGTCCCACCTTCCGACCAATCACATCCTAGCTACTGCCTCTCACGCACTCAAAGGCGAATCTTTCATTGAGTGGGTCCCTTTTTCCGGTTACTATTGGCAATCCTTCAGAGCTATGTTAATTAATGAAACCCACACAAATAATAAGCTTCTTTAACCCAGATTTTACGTTACCATTTTGGTTTGTTAGTAACAGTGTTTTTAAAACCAGAGCGAACCGACCGGTCGGACCAGTTCAACTGTGAATTGTTCATTAGATGAGTCTTGAGTGATTTTGACATATTCGTTGGCTTAGTCGACGAGATTCGTAAAGCTCGATAGTAGATCATCATTTTGCTCCGGTCAAATCCACTATCCTTCATCTCCAAGTTG